TCTATATTCTATCTCTGTCTTTTGCACTTAGTAGGGAATAGGGAAATGCTTTTTTAGTGGGTGTAAACGGACTTGATTTAACCCGTCCTGAGAAACGTCATAGCATAAGCGTAGACGAAGGGTCTAATTCCATGGCTATAATAAATTTATAAATTAAAAAAACACAATTGGGACGTTTTAAAATGCTGTAATAATTAAAATGGATCAAAGTGTCTGTTATAGCAAACCGTAAAAAATATTAGATGTTATGTTTTATTATCTTTTTTCATTATTTTCTATATCTTGTTGCCTTTTACGCATACACAGTGGATTTTCGTTCCCGACACGCTTCATCCCCCTTACTAGTCCAAAAGCTAGCGATGAATCACTCTCTATAATTTCGACCGTGGAGTATAAACTAATACAATCTAATCGGATTACATCTCAAGAAATTAAAATTTTTAGGATGTGGCAATTATTATACCATTACAAAACGATCTAGCAATTGTCATTTAAATAAAACCATTCATTTCTAAATTAGCATTTCATCAACGTCTTTATAAACCAAAGAATGTACCCTAAACCAAAGAATGTACCTACAGTTTGTTTGAATATTCTTATGTTATAGAAAACGAGGAGCGCCGCAAATATTGGCAATATATTTCCCGCATGTTATAAGCCTCGCTGAAGCAAGCAGAAGTGACACATTACCAATTATATTTTTATTTTTATTATGCAAATAAACTGTTAATATTTCAAAAGATATTATTATTCAATGATTCAGCTTCCAAGAGGATATACAAGTAAATAATTGACATTCCGAATGTGCGCTTAGTTTCAGTTCGATGTGTCGTATTCCACCCTTCGAGCGAGTTTCAGGATTTCAGAACACTCAGTATATTCCTAGAAGTCGTCTTGTACCTACGGATATGCCTGAGACCGTTGAATTGCGACAGTCAATTTCGCCTACCTTTCCAATCCAAACAGAAAACCCGCCACGGTTTCAAAACTAATCGCCATCGGCCGGGTAAATCAAAAAAGCCCCCACGGTATCAGTTCAGACATCGAACTCGATACCGTCCGAGAACGATTTCCGCGACTCTGCATCCTAGTGCGGACGTCGCCCTATAACATAACATCGATCCCTCCGGCGATAGCGCCTCCAAAGTCAAATACCAATTTCACCGATGTTTCCAATGTCACCCGCATCGCGGCCGATCTCGCCTGGGTCTGCCATCCCGGCGCTAAGTATCCACTGCAGCGACCCTCGCAACCTGCAGACGACCCCCGGCACGCTTCAGGGCGATATTTGGAAACAACCATCATTATTTTTACTCATCTTTCGAATTGGTCCAAGGACGCTATCGTCAATAACTCAAAAACTTATTGAGCGATCGGTGTTAAAATTTAACACAGCACTCCTCAAGTCGCTGGCATTATCTCCCTAAAATTTCGTCCGAATTGGATGAGCCAAAACGCCGTTATACGGGGAAACGCGGATTTTACGTTTTCCGCGTTTTTAGCCGTTCCGCTCATTCGATCTCGGCTGAACCTCAAAACCACACTAGAGCATCCCTAGGTGGTTATCATATCCAAATTCGAGCCGAATCATGTGACTACTAACGGCCAGCTAAGCCATAATAGGATTTCACGTTTTCCTAGCTGCCGCCGGAAGTGTCCGCTCGATCTCGGCCGAACCCTCCAACCACGGTACTACTTCGTGCCGTGCATCATCAGTCCACTTTTAAACCAGATCCATACAGTATTAAGACCTCCGTAAGCCCTTTTACGAAGACGGGGAAATTTTCACCACACTTTCCAATTTCCCCGTCGTTGGGCCTAAAGGACCGTCTTCCGAGGGTCCCACCTCTCTGGCGGTTGGATGCGATGATCGGTAGCCTAAGCCGAGACCGCGGGTAGAGTTTTCTCAAAATGGGAGAAAACTGCAAAATCCCCGATGCCGACATCAACTATCCAGAGAGGCTAGAGGGGAACGAGATCCGACGTCGACGGCGACGAGGGGCGCTTTTTATTGGAAATTTTGGCGGACGATTCACGAGCGTTCCGCTAAAAGTATGGAGATCGGAGGAATGCGATCGAACGTCTACTTCCGACATCTGCAGACTTCAGTGGGAGTGCATAGCGCGATGAAAGCGACACAGAGCAATATGTAACAATAAATATTCTATGGTAAATGTCTTGTATGTGTTAATTAAGAGCACTTATTGTCTGTTAATTCTGTTCAATAAATCTTTTAACATATCTTCCACGGTTTGATTGTGAAAACCCTGGCATCAAACTCAAGAACTTTTGGAGCTCACAGCTCACAGGCTCGCTTCACGAGGCTTCTGTCAAGGCTGTCATACCTTGACGAGGCAAATTTATAGTACTTAGCAACCACTACTCACTTCACGAGACATACCACCCGAGGTAGCCTGACCTGAGGTGAAGATCCTGTTCGATAGCCCCCTGCATCGAAACAGCGATACACCAGGCTCCTTTTGAGACCTGCAATGCCGTCCGAGACTGACCACCTCCGACGAAGATCCTGTTCGATAGCCTCCTGCATCGAAACAAAGATACCACAGGCTCCTTTAGAGACCTGCGTACCGCCCGAGGTAGCCCAACCTGAGACGAAAATCCTGTTCGATAGCCTCCTGCATCGAAACAACGATACCCCAGCTTCCTTTAGAGACCTGCTATACCGTCCGAGACTGAGCATCTCCGACGAAGACCCTGTCTCCGATTGTGCCGGCTCCATCGAGAGACCCGCACCTCGGAACGGCGGTACATACATAGGCTCCTAAGAGTCCTATCATTCAGAGTCTATTGAGATCTGCAAATCCGAGGCAACTTTCCTCGTCAAACCTCTAGGCGGTCACTCGTCGAGGCAACCTTCCTCGTCATACCCCTACGAGGCATTATTTTTGCGACCTACGAGTCCAAAGCTATAGTACGCACGTCATTGTGGCGGCGTACTCAAAATTTAACAGAAGTTGTCCTTGCTTCTCAGGGCTCCCTCGAGAGACCCACCTTTAAAGTAGAATCAGTGCTTCTACAAGACTTTTGGAGCAAAAGAGCTTGCTCCGACATTGTCGTACGGGGTAAGATGTATCTCTGCGACGCGACATCTATTGGTACGAAGATTGGTGCCCTCGAAGGTACAACAAATAAATTAGATCGTGATTCTATGATCAAGACTGAGCTGGACGAGACCTCGTCCCCATTCGGAGGAGAGACCAGCGGTTACACGGACTGCCCTCACGCCTGTTTGCCGGCGAAAGATCTCCCGACACTCCGGGTGAACGAGGAAATGGCCTCCTTCCCCAACGCTATCTCGATGCTGCGTGAAGAGTCTGAGGGACCGAAGGTGGTAGCTCGCGGAAGTACGCGGCACGGCGCAGCCACAGCGCCGTACGCTTTGAGGTCCGCTGCTACGCGGGTTATTGATACCACCTCGACCACCTCCTCACGACGCACTCACGGAGACGAGTAGCACTTACGAGTTACCACGAAGTGGGTCACCCACAGATACTCGGGACGAGGTTATATCTATGTACCAACTGGTAGGGTCCAGGGAATCCCATGAGCCCGACCACGGTTCGCGGTCCGGCCCCGATATCGGCCTACTTCCGAGGTCGGGTGTCCCGGAACGTGGAACCGTTCGCACCGGCGATACAGTACAATCAGCATTTTTACGAAATTGTACCCAGCGGGAGCAATGCGCATCTCGTTCGGGTGCGAAAACCCCTTAACCGACTATGTCGTAGGTGACGTAGCCGGCACACGGCGCTCGATGTGGGGCTCGAACACCATATTTCCCCCACGAGCTCGTGTCCTAGACACCACGTCTGTAGGCCATATCCACCACAGACCACAGTCGTTGAGAACCTAGCGCGACCTGGCGTCCAAAGTGGAGCTCAATTTGAACTCCTTTTGTCTCCACCGCGGACCCATGTTGAGGAAACCCATCCAAATGATCACAATTCACGACATGGCGTTCGACGTGGGGCTCGAAGCTCTGCTTCGATGTCTCTACGGCGGGCCCAGGTTACCGAATCACCCCGCAATTCTCAATTATTAGGCACTTCAGATCTTATTACACGACATGGCGCCCAACGTGGGGCTCGATTAGAACTTCCGATGTTTCCACCGAGGACCCATGTCGATGTTACAAATAATTCCGGTCATAGATTACGACAGATGAGGTTAGACCAGGTCAGATTAAAGTAGGATAAGGTAGAGGATTTGTTAATATAGCGTAAAACTTTCAAATCTTCAAGAAAATTTGGCTATCCCCTATTTTCGATGATGCTGAATACGAATTTGAAGTTATTTTTGTGCGGTCGAAACTAGTTTCTGAGAAAATAAATTTCCAAAATTCTATAACCTGTACATTTCACAAAACAGTCGAATCCTCAATGTATACAACACTGTACGGTCATCTATTATCTATTAAAATACATAATTAGGGATTAATTCCTGAGAATTATATTTGAAGAAAGAATGTTTTTGCTTAATATTTTATATATATTTCGCTTGAGATTAAATCGATTATTTTCACATCGCGATATCATTGCGTCGTCGTTTGTGGTTTGTCAGGGTTTTGGTTGTCATCTTCGGAAATACCTACCACAAATTTATTTCAGATGCGTGTGCAGTACCCTCGAAAATAGGAGAGGTAGGCAAAATTGTATGTGCTTTTGCGAGTTTTTAAGCTATAGAAAATAATTACTCAGATCAGGTTAGGTTATCTGGTCAGGTTCGGTTAAGTTTACTTCTCAATATATTTATTTAATATTTTTGTGAATTTCCGGAATATGGTATCTGATCGTCGCAAAGTAATTTCAGATTCGTATTTAGAAGATCAAAACTAGTGTATATACCAAAATTATTAAAACCTGAAGCTGCACCACTTCAAACAATTACCATAGTTCTAGTCAAAATATTTTGCGCCGCCTATGGCATGTCATGTGATTTGTGAACTGTTAAACACGCACCAATCAAAAACCGACAGACAAGCGACAAAAATATTATGTTGATAAACGATAATATGACACAAGTAACATAGAAATAGTCAAGAATAATATAATTAGTGCCAGTTAATAATACGTACCTATTAAATTGTAATAAGTGTTTGTAAATAAATTTTAACAAAGTGGATACTACAAAAGGAAACATGGAAACATTGCCTGTTACTTTGATAGTGAAAGCTCCAAATCAACAAATTGAAGATCAAACAGTTAAATGTGAGCTGTCATGGACAATTCAGAAGTTAAAGCAACATTTATCCGAAGTGTACCCTAGCAAACCTGTATGATTACTAATTCTATTATTAGGTTATTATCTAATAACATATATTTTTCCAGCCGAAACATGAGCAAAAACTTATATACTCTGGGCAACTCCTAAGTGATTCCGTAACATTAAAAGAAGTACTCAGACAGTACGAGGGTCAAGAAACTCACACGGTACACCTAGTATGCTCTTCAAAATACACTAAAAGTTTTCAGCAACCTCATCCAGTATTACAAACCCCTAGTTCTACGAATTTATCAAATGAAATGAATGTTACTAATACACCAACGCAGACTGAAGTACCTTCACCAAATGTTGCAGCAGAACAAAATATTCCTAATATACAACCAAATATGCCATGGGTGTACAATGTTAATGGAACACCAGTAGATGCAAATCAGTATGCAATGCAAGTTGTTTGGATGCAGCAAGCTTATCTTCAGTATATGACGCAATATATGCAACTGTAAGTTTAGAATGATTCTTTCAATTTCCCAATTCATTATTTTTTTAATGAATTTTTATCAATTTGAAGATTTGACAATATCAAGAAGGAATATTGATGTTTGATTTTCTAGAAAATAATTTAAATGACAATGTTTTCATCTGAACTCATGTTTTGGTTTCATAAATTATACCACATGAAAAACCAAAAAAAAAAAAAAAACTGTAAAATCCATTACTTATTATGTAATAGTTATTTTTATATCACAGTTAATTTATTTTTATACTTAAATAAATGATTTTGCATGATTTTCAAGAAATAAATCTTAAATAATATTGAAACCGTGGTATGAATATAGTATATTTTGCTCGTCAACTGACTTAATTTCATCCTACCTGCGGGTGACGTCAGATAGTTTAAGTTAATCGTAATACGTAAAAGATGTGACTTTCACATTTGCGTACGGTATGAATCTACGTTTAAAGTCAGCTTAAGTGTGTAGAATCTAAATGTAATCTTAAATATTTTGTCAAGTTTGAAGAAAAGTTACCTGTTTTACACAATAAAATTTATGATGTTCAGGCCACAACAGCTGTGGATTATTAGAAAAATCAATTTTTGTCTAGTGACATAACCACATGTGCATAGACACACCATATTATACTCTCACCACGATTAAAACTGAATAGTGAAATTAACAAAAAAAACAAAGATATAACTACATCTCAACGCAGGTGTTGATCTGAATCGGAAACAAATATTTTAATATTGTGAGGCTTGTGAGGCATTGTTGTTTATTTTAATTTTCAAATCAAATTTGTGTGCATAAACTACAAAATTTGGATAAACACTTAAGATTTTACTCATACCCCAGTCATTCTACGGCAATCTGGCGACGGGATCTTGTTAGGGGGGGATAGTTAATGAAAAATACATAAATTAGTACAGCCAATTTTGCCCCCACTCCGAATAAACAATGGTCAGAGTAGTCAAAATGAGGTTTTTCTCAAATATAATTTTTCAGAGGCAAGATAGAGAAAAAGTCTTCACATAAAAGTTGTAGGTATTTAAAAAACCTACAATTTCGTTTTTTATACATTAAAATTGGTGCATTATTTATCGAGATAATTATAAAAAACATGCATTTTTGCAGTGTTTTTTAATTGTTAATAGCTTTTGCAATAATGGTCATAGGCGAATTTTAATCTACTAAAAATGAGGGTATTATAATCCTTTATATGTGGTTACAAATTGGCCCCGATCGGTCCAATAGTTTATGAATAATTGCATTTGTTTATCCCAAACACGATTTTTTTAAACGATTGAGCTAGGTCACTGAGTGCATAAAAATCAATTTAAATGCCAGGAATTGATAGTTAAAAGTCTGAAAATTATGGTATGTTAAAATAATCGATTTTAATCAATTTTGTTGCATTTTTTTCAATGCAAAAATTGGGGTATTTTTTTTCTTATAAATAAATAGAAGTAAGTCCGGAACTACTGGTCTCAGGAACATGACAGTCATATCACTGGATAGCTGGTAAAAAAACAAAGATTTAATAAATATATATATTCCCTACGCCCTTTCTGGGCCGAGATAGCTCTTTTAAAAAAAAATCACAGCTCCATTGTTTATAAACATTAAGGGCTGAAATTAATGCTATACAGGGTGGTCCGAATTTTATGCAGGAAACTTCGAGGGCAGATAGATCTCTTTAAAATAATATGTGTTTGCCTTATAAACATAGGTCTGGAACGGCACCGTTTTAGAGATACAGGGTGTTGAAGTTGTCAAATGTTTATATCTCCGGAATCTATAAACCGATCTCAATAAAATTTGGTACATATAATGTATGATAGTAGGCCTTATATTCCCTGAAATATGAGCTTTAAAGGTTCAACCAGTGGTGTACAATTGGACAGGGATCACCCCATTTTTACAAAAAAAAACTACGCCACTGCATTTTTTACATGTCATTGTAACTGATTTATATTTTAATGCACAAAATACGTAAAAAAGGTGACTTTAATTTTTTCCCTAGGATTCGCCGTTCTCAAGTTATTCATACCAATACAATCCCCTTGTGGCAGACACTTCTAACGATAATATTACAAGAATTTTTGTTTATGTCTAAACGTAAGTCCAATTTGTAAGCTCATCAATAAAATTTNTTTAAAAGTAAGTGCAATTTGTAAGCACATCAACAAAATTATTTACACTCCTTTCTACACCACCTGTGAGGTAGTGTGCGATATAAACAAAAAATCTATTTTTTTAAACCTCAACACCCTGTATCTCTAAATCGGGGCCGTTCCAGACCTATGTTTATAAGGCAAACACATACTATTTTAAAGAGATCTATCTACCCTCGAAGTTTCCTGCATAAAATTCGGACCATCCTGTATATGCACAAAGGTCTAAACTTTATGATACATTCAACTCCACGAAGATACATGAATAAATAAAAAACTTATAGTAACTCAAAGTGGAGGTAAATTATCTTAGCTCGTTCAGTCGGCTTGGGGGAGGAACCAGCTCGTTTGATTCAAAATCGTGCCTGCTCGAAAATTTTGCAATATCTCGGCTTCCTCTTGACGTAGAAGCTTCATTTTTTTTTTAAACTGGGGTAGCTCTTCGAAAAAATGACAACTAGACCACCAAACAACCCCTAAAATATCATCCAACCCCTAAAATAAGGGTTGGTTCTTATAAGTGATTTTTTAAAACATTTTTTCGTCGTGCAATTTGACTACAAATACCTTTAAACATATGGAATGCAATTAACAACCTGTAAAATATTATCCAACCCCCAAACCAAGGGTTGGCTTTTATTACCGTCCTTTTTTCATTATTTTTTCTAAAATTTTACAGAAAATATATTTTCTACAAAGAACAATTATTATTTTTGTTACTTTGCGCGTAATTTATTTATATATTTTTACTGTGCATATACATATATGTGTATAGAATATGTGCAATATTTTGTTGAAATTTTTTTTTTAAATAGGAATAATGTCATTTAAGAATAGAGGTTAGTAAAATTATGTAAACATTATTATGTACCATGCATGCCTAGGCTATATACAGTATGCATATACAGGGTGTTCAAAAAGTTTGGAACCCCCCCTCTATCTCAGAAAATACTGCTCAAACAAAAAAATGATTAGGACAAAAGTTGCAGGGTTTTGAGTGAGCAATACAACGGTGACCTTGATCATGACCTTGACCATGGCAAGGTCATTTAGAGGTCAAGTTGAAAATTTTAAATGGAACCGTATACTTTTGACCCCAGAAATGGTAAGAGCGGAAAATTTTACGTTCGAATGTGACCTTGACCATGACCTTCATGGTCATTTAGAGGTCAACCTGAAAATTTTAAATGGAACCGTATATTTTTGACCCCGAAACGGATCTAATATGTTGGACTAAAAATTTGATTCAAAAAAATTTCAAATTGACCTGTAAACGACCTCTAAGTTGCAGTCAAGCTCACCCTTTGACTGCTCACTTTTAACCCTAACATCTCGGTAATTTTTTCACTGATGAGAACCTTCGGAGACAGGCTGTTGGAAATACTGTGACCATTTCCGGGGTCAAAAATATATGGTTCCAATTAAAATTTTCAACTTGACCTCTATATGACCTTCAAGGTCATGGTCAAGGTCACCGTTGGATTGCTCACTCAAAATCCTGCAACTTTTGTCCTAATCATTTTTTTGTTTGAGCAGTATTTTCTGAGATAGAGGGGGGGTTGCAAACTTTTTGAACACCCTGTATATGCATACTGTATGTAGCTTAGGCATGCATGGTACATAATAGTGTTTACATAATTTTACTGACATTTATTCTTAAATGACATTATTCGTATTTAAAAAAAAAATTCAACAAAATATTGCTCATATTCTAAATGTTTTGAATTGCAACAACATACACGATACACAGATATGTTTGTACACAGTAAAAATATATAAATAAAAACGCTCAAAGTAACAAAAATAATAATTGTTCTATGTAGAAAATATATTTTCTGTAAAATTTTAGAAAAAATAATGAAAAAAAGGACGGTGATAAAAACCAACCCTTGGTTTGGGGGTTGGATAACATTTTACAGGCTGTTAATTGCATTCCATATGTTTAAAGGTATTTGTAGTCAAATTGCATGACGAAAAAATGTTTTAAAAAACACTTATAAGAACCAACCCTTATTTTAGGGGTTGGATGATATTTTAGGGGTTGCTTGGTGGTCTAGTTGTCATTTTTTCGACGAGCTACCCCGGTATAAAAAAAATGAAGCTTCTACGTCAAGAGGAAGCCGAGATATTGCAAAATTTTCGAGCAGGCACGATTTTGAATCTCACGAATCTTTGTTTTTTTACCAGCTATCCAGTGATATGACTGTCGTGTTCCTGAGACCAGGTCCGGAGTTACTTCTATTTATTTATAAGAAAAAAATACCCCATTTTTGCATTAAAAAAAATGCAACAAAATTGAAAAAAATCGATTTTTTTTTAACATACCATAATTTTCAGACTTTTAACTATCATTTCCTGGCATTTAAATTGATTTTTATGCACTCAGTGACCTAGCTCAATCGTTTAAAAAAATCGTGTTTGGGATAAACAAATGCAATTATTCATAAACTATTGGACCGATCGGGCCCAATTTGTAACCACATATAAAGGATTATAATACCCTCATTTTTAGTAGATTAAAATTCGCCTATGACCATTATTGCAAAAGCTATTAACAATTAAAAAACACTGCAAAATGCATGTTTTTTGCAATTTCTCGATAAATAATACACCGATTTTAACGTATAAAAAATTATATTGTAGGTTTTTTTACTACCTACAACTTGCATGTGAAGATTTTTTCTCTATCTTGCCTCTGAAAAATTATATTTGAGAAAAACCTCATTTTGACTATTTTGACCATTGTTTATTTGGAGTGGGGGCAAAATTGGCTGTACTAATTTATGTATTTTTCATTAACTATCTCCCCCCTACAAGATCCCATCATC